AGCTGAGCAGTGGCAAGGATCAACTTCTTAAATTGTCTTTCCATTGCAATTAACTGCATACCAAATCTCAGCCAAATGGTGGCTAATAGCAGGGATGAAGTTTAACCTGTTTGACTTTGCACTGAAAGGGACGAGCGCCACAGGTAGCCTCACTTACAGTGAAGTACGAACAGGAGATTTAACAAGCTACTACTTGTCAGCTCTTAATTAGCAGCTCCCATCAGAGCAGCAGCACCCAACTGCACACCGTCTGCTTCAGTGCAAAGTCCAATTCATTAGTTAAATTTTCAGAAGCATCAGATTTTCCTTGGAAGATAGTGTTTAACAGCTAAAGCATGGTAAGATTTGACTGCCTTTCAGTTGTTTCTGTCTGTAGGGACATTTTCTAGCTAAACTTAGTACCTGATAGTGTCTGCTAAATTGGATGCAAGCAGCAGGTCAGGAGGTTCCTTGGGCTAAATCCCTAGACATGCTGCAAGGTGTTTTTTGTTTATTTTGACTTTCAGTGCAGATTTCCATATCCCCTACTATTGCAACAGACAGCTGTACAGCATTTGATTTGGCCAAGTGTGTGTCTAACAACTAGTAGCCTTGCTGCTTTGACAGTAAGTCTGGTTTGCCACCGCTGTAACATTGCCACCGCATGGCAATGCATGCTTTGCTACGGGCTTTGAGAAGATAAGCCATGCTGTGTGTATTCACAAGATAAAGCACAGTTTCTTGAGCATGCTTGTTCACTGTTCCTGGGTAACATTTAGCTCTTGAGGAAAGTTGGGTGCAATAAAGTGGTATACTTTTAGAAATGTTGTACATAGGACATTTAAGAGCGATTTAAAATACAAAGTACAATAAAACCTTGCTCAGATTGCACTGAGGAAGAGTTAGAGAGTTGGAAATTGAGAGGATAAATTATTTGCTTTGGGCCCTGTGTGAGAGTGTGTGAGATGGAAGTGTGTGAGCTGGCACATCAGCCACACAAACCTTCCTTTATTAGGAGAATCCTTCTTAGATTCTGAAGGTCCCATGGATGTCTGCAAAACCTAGAGACACATCCTGCTGATATAAATTCTTAGATTTTTAGGCATCTTTTGTTTGCCAGTCTTTCTCTAACAAGCTGCATCCTACCACAAACTTGCTAGCAGAACGTGACAGAAAAGGCATGAAGCAAATGATTTTGTACAGACAGGGAATACCATAGCTAAACAAGCATGATGGCTGGCAAATCACAAGTGGGAAATTAATGTTTACTTCAGCTTTTAGTTTTTCTTTTCAGGATATTGAAATGAAAGCTATAACGAAAGAGGGGGATGAGAAACATCTTCAAGCATTTATATGTAAATATACATTTCAGTATTGTGGTTTTAAAGAGCCTCTGGAGTTCTAACTTCTTTCAAACGCTGCATGGATGAATCAGCCTGTTTTGGTATTTAACCTCTAAGCTATAGATTCTTACACATACTCACACACACTGGATGTTTATGCTTGTGCTGGTGTGTGTGTGCGCGCACGCACCCACACGTAAGCAAATAATCAGGAGTAATAAATATAGATTTAAGAATCTAATATGTCTCCCATTAAACTTTAAACTATTATTTGCATGAATACATTGTGTATGTTGAAGCACTGGGAGCATTTTCTGTTGCTTGGAAGTACCACTCCTAAGCATTTTATGAACCATTCACAGTCTGATATAAGTTATCTTTAAGATTTTATAATGATGTAGAAAACTGCTTATATTTTTGCAGAAATGCAGGGAGTAGGCTGTTGAGGTTAGTTTTACCATGGAGGAAGAGTGACTGCAATGAACAGTGAGAAATATGCCACAATCTTTTTATCTTTTTTTTTGATGCAAAAAAGCTCCATATTTCTTCTACACCATGCAATTAAAAGATGAAAATTACACTAAAGTGGTCTGGGCTTTTTGGGAAAAGCCCTATTTTTAGGTTTTTGGAAGCGTGGTGTGTAAGAACTGCTGTTTCAATAGTGGAGTGTCAACTCTTGAGTTTAACAAAAGTGCCCTTAAATAACCAAAAAGGAAAGATACCAAAATGGAAAAAAAAAGTTATAAAAGATAAAAAAGATATAAAAATGAAACGTGTATTATTTGAAGGCAGAACACCTGCTAAAATTATTGTATCTTACAGAAAAACAAAAAAAGGGGGAACAGAACAGACCACGTGTGATTGCTGTGTCCCATGCGTAAGAATTCTTACTGCGTTTATTTCCAGACGAACAGGGGGAAGAGCATGGCTGTGCCCCTGGGAGCAGTGATGGGAGCAGGGAGCCAGTCAGGAGGGAGCAGTTTGGGCAGGCATCCGCACCAGCTGCTTTTTTGGGGGGTTTTCTTCAGACCAGGCCCAAACTGTTCCCATGGAGGCATCTCCCCGTGGTGGCTGGGGCCTGGGAGGGGCATGCCTGTACCATGGCACAGAGCATAGCGTTTGCATGCTCTGAGCCCACTAAGTGTCATAAGGATGGGGCAAAGGGGTGGTCAGAAGTTTCATTCCAGAAGTGCACTCCAAAGGAAAGGGGGAGCCCTTAGGGCCTTTGCAGAGAGAGGCCTTCCTCTGCCTGCCGGCGGCCATCTTAGGTGCAGCTCTGCAACCACACGGCTTCAGGAACCCGTAATTACAGCCACCCTTCACTCTCCCTCTCCCTGTCTCGGAGGTGGACTTCTTCTCCCTCCCTGGAGAAACGAGGGAATTCCTTAACCCCAAAGGTCAGCCTGGGATGTGGGGCCATGCTGAGGTAGCAGATGGGTTTCCCGGGGCCCTGCCCTGTGCTGGGGCCCTCGGGCCCAGGTGTCACAGGAGTGTGAGAGAAAGCCACCGCTTTCCCCCTCTGCCAGGCGCACCGAGTGCAGCTTTCATGCGGGCAGCCATATGCCAGGCTGCCAAAAATAACGGTTATTTTTGAAGTAGTTGGGATAACAGGACCCACTTCATTTATTCTGAAACAGTAAACTGAGAACTGTTCTGTTGTTTCACACTGTTACTAGGGTCGAGAAGGTTGACTGTTTCCTCCTTGATCCTTATATGTGGACGTGATACCGTGTAAGAGGCTCCATGTCCAGTCTGTCAGCTGCTATATCAGCTAACAGCTTTTCAAGCAAATACTTTGTAGAGACCTAGAATAAAAAGAATGACATCACTTGTAGTCAATTCTGCATTAGGAAAGGAGTTTTTTGCTAAGATAGGGCTGCAAAGATTGTCATGTTAGTGTCTAACCCTTCTTTGTATTTTACAGGTCTGTTTTCCTTACGAATTATATTCTACAAATAATCATATGTTTCTTTTACAAATTAGGAGGGGTTTTTTACTTGTAATGTCCTCATGTTGTGTGAAATGAATGCAGAGGAGCTCACAGGGATGCACGGTCTTTCCCAACTATTCCCAGCAGAAGGTTTCTTTCTCTGAATCATTCTTAGCCGATGCTATCTACTGGCTGTCACTCTTAGTTGTATGTCTGTCATATTCCCTCTTATCCTCCCCTCAAAAAATGTATTCTTGGCCTTTCTTTTCTGGGAGATCCATCCAGTTGCCCTTGCTTTAAATCCCCGGGAGAAGAGATTTCTAAAGCAGAAATGTGGGGTCGATGTGTGACCACGCTGTGTCTCTGCAAGTGCTGCTCTGTTCTGCCCTTCTCTGCTATCTCCAGCAGCTAGAGGTGCCTCACACATGAGATAAAATTGCAACAGGAGGTCCACATATCACTTCACATCAACTTTTGTTTTCTTTTCTTTTTTTTTTTAAGTGGGCTATATAACATTAAGTGAGTGAGCATTGCTGGGCTAATATTGGATCTGAAACTTGACAGCCCTCTTTGACAAGTACCTGTAACTTGAAAATTACGTTGCTGCAACTGATGGAATGCTCAAATCTGTTTAATTTTGGGGATTTTGAGAGGAGGGACACTTTTAATACTTAAATTCCCATCTTTAACATTGGACAGATGGTGTAATGTTTTTGCATTTTTTATATTATTTTGGGTTACTGAAGTTAATATTCTACCAGTTACAAGTATCCATGTGAATACCACAGAGTTCATTTTGAGGACAGAGCTCTAAAATAAATTATAGACCTTGGTAGCAGTCATAAATCAGTCATTTTTTTTCATTGAGAAAGTGGTGGCACTGGAAGAAAGTTATTTAGTGATCAAAATGCATCGTTAAGCTTTTAAAAAGGGATTCTGTGCCTGTAGTAGAGCTGTAGGCGATTTATGGCTTATCTGTACTCATTGCCTTGAGCTTTTGGAAAATTTGTAAACAAAGCCAGATGCTCATTATATTCCCATTCAGGGTTGGTTAGATGGGTAAATGCCATCAGAAGCACTTTGGTCCTGTTGGGTTTTAGCTTGTTACAGGAAATGGAATTGCTCCAAAATATTTTTTTTAAATATTTCTCATCCATGAAAATATACTTTTAGTTTGTGCACATAGAATGGATTTTTTAAATAGTTGTAAATTATAATGAAAATAATTCTCTGAGAACTATATTGTATACTAAACTGTGGGTCCAGCTTTTTCTTTGTGTCAGAGTTCATGCTTAAACTGTGTGATGTAGTCAAGCATCACCCGCCCTTTTTAAGGGTATTGGGCAATGCAGGAGGCTGTGGAAGCTTCAGGCTAGAGTTGTTTCTGCTTTTTAAGAAATTTTAGGGAACTGAGATGTGAACTAAGTGACTTTTCATAACCAGTTTGATAAATTAAGTCATTTGCTATTGATTTGATAGTTTTTACTGCTTGCCTTTTGTTTTCTGTATAGATCACGTGATGTGAAAGGGTTCCTTGTAAACTACATATTTTTGGTTTTTACTACTCTTTAAGTCTAAGAAAACATGCTGCTGTATATAAATTGATTTGCTATAGGTTAACAAAATTTTCCTTGTAATCATCTTTATTGCAATATGATCATCATGTAATCCATTTCATAATTCGTGATTAACTTTTTGGTGTATTTTTTTTTTTATTTATTGGCTGCAGCTGACCAATTAAACAGGTCATGGCACGCTTAACGAAGAGACGACAGGCAGATACAAAGGCTATCCAGCATCTTTGGGCAGCTATAGAAATAATCCGGAACCAGAAGCAAATTGCTAACATTGACCGTATTACAAAGTAAGTGATCTGTTCCGAAAAAAGTCTTGATGAGGGGGAAGGTTGATGCTATTAAAAGCCCTGGGAAGCAGAGACAGTAAACATTGTGAGAGACTGTGAAACAGTTACATGCACTTCTGTGTTACCAATTATCTAATTATAAAAAAAACCTTATAGAAATGAGCACCTAAAGATCCTGAAGTGAGGTTTAATCGAGATCTTACTCACCCTGTATTTGTTTTGTATAAGCATCTTTAGGAAATATGCAATATTTATAGTACTTGAACTGAGTTTAGTATGTCAGACCTGTACTCGGTAGCTTGGTCAAAATACAAGAAGTAGATATAACAATTAAGGAGAAAAGGGCAATAAAATCTGTAAATAATGAAATTCTTTATGGGAATGTGATAGGCCAGTGGAGAACTCTTTCCAGAAGCCAAAGCTAAACCTGAAGTGTTAGGTTGCTTAAACAAATAAGATGCCATATTTGCTGAGATGGGAATAGGACGCTATTAAAGAAGACATGAGATGATTACCACCTATGCTTAATATGAAATTAATATTAAAATATTCTTCAAAATGTATTAGGTGCTGTATACACAGAGAAATATGTATTCTTTGTTATGTGGAGTTTGCAATGTGTAAAAACGTCTACAATACTAAAATAGCTTTTAAGATACCTTGGAGTAGCCACTGTAATAAAAACTGAGGGAGGTTTTGTGCCTTTCTCTGCTTTGTCTGCATTTCCAGGCCAACGTGTACGTCACATTTGTCAAAGTAATCAATATGAATAATTTAAAAGAGCGAAAGTAACCAGTTGGCAACTCTTCAGTTGCCAGAACCAATGTAACTGATAATGAGGCCAGAGAGCACTAAAGCAGAGAGTTATAAACAGTGCAGGTGACTAACGACGTGAAAATCATTATAACATGATCCACTGACAGAGTTTGGAAGCTCTGGGGTGGAAGTGACAGTCAAACTGGCTTCATAAATGGAAGAAGTGTAACAGTTCAGGTTTTCCAAACATAGTGAACAATAAACAGGAGAAAGAAAAACGATAATGTCCCAAATGAATTAGTGTGTACCTGGCTCCTACAACAAAGAAAAATGCACCATTAAACCGAAAAGCACCTTGCTAGACATAGAGAGTTCCAAGAGGGATTGAGAGGGAGATTGTATTTTAGGGAATTCCATTTTTGAGATTTCACTTAAGTTTCAGAACACTTTAAAGCACATATATTTTCATCATATCTCCAAGGAGACAAGTGGCTAAACTAATGCTATACACTTTTCACTTTAACATTTCAAATTACTTGCTCCAGGTCATATGTTAGCTGAGTTTGTTAACTGTTTATGCTCTTTCTATATGTAATAAAGGGAGACAGGCACGTCTAGTTGTGGATTCATCCCACTCTCATGAGAAATGCCTATTTTACATGGTGCAAATAACATTTAGCTGGGTAAAGTTAGGTAAGACAAATCCTATCATTACAAACAAGGTTGAGAAAACAAGTAGACAGATACTAGAAAAAGAAGTACTGCTCTTGGTAACTGAAGATTAGTTTGATTTTTTAGAAAACATTCTAGATCCAGATTGTATGACTCATCTCTAATCAGAAAAAAAATAAGTGACTAAACAGAGATGAAAGCATCCTCAGTACTTTGAGAAAGATGTGTGAGGTGTTAGCAGTGAAGAATAATCTAAGAAGTATTTGGACATTGTGAGTGTTCCACATGCACATCAGTGACAACAGTGATGAACAGTGATCTAGTTTCTATTATATCATATTTTTAAGGAGATAACTTTTGACAAGGAAAAGATAAAGACCTTGGAGTTGCTTTACAGTACTAGTCATTGATGAAGAAACACAGATGACTTAGTAAATATTACGTAATATTAAAAATAAAATTCTGAAATTAGCAGGGCGTTAGAATATCTCTTCTGATGAAAACTGAGCAGCTGATGTATTCTTCCAGGCTCAGAGATCATTTGGTGAAGTACAACTGCAGTTCCTTAAAGGATAAATCACTGTCTGAGCACATAGGCAAATGTACGAATAATAAGAAAGATCAGAACCAAACAGTGGTCAAAAGTGAAAATTATGACCATATATACATAGTTGAAGCTAAAGGGAGGATTCTGATACTTCGATTAGTAACATTTTTAAAAGTGTTAATACCTCTTGGGATTGACTGAAGAGTGGCTTTGCACATTGTAAGTATTTGCCAGTAACAATGACAATGAAATTTATGGAAGCATGCCTTATTCCTGAGTAAGAATACGGAAGTACAGCAAGATAATCTTTCTTTATAAATACATGTTTAAGGTAAGTGGCAGTCATCCTACTGTGTCATATAGTGGATGACAAATGTGTACTTTCAGAGAACTTCACAAGTTGAAGGTGATTCATGATTTGATTTTTTATTTTATTTTCTTTTTGCTATAGTTTGAGGGTTCATTTGTTGCTAGAGACAAGTCGTCCTGTACATTTTGTGACCTGTTAGTCCAAACACCTTCAGAGAAGAATCTCTGTTGCTCTTCATCAGATGGTTTACTACTTTTAGGCAAATCTATCTGTTGACTTTTCTCCTAACCAGCAGCTCAGCATGTTTGTCTCCCTTTCCTGATGTATTCCTGTTTATTTCTTTTACTTCTTGCTTTTCTTAGTCTTCTGGTGCTGAGTAGAAGCCACTGTACATATCAAGGAGCATTTCCTTTCTGTGACCGGCGAGGAAATGTTGGTAATATAAAAAGGGGTTTCATTGGGTTGAACTCTTTCAACTCAATATGTAAGAAAGACAAATTTATATAAAACATTAAAATATGTAAAATGTAACCTGTGCACTCTATGTGTAATTGTTAAAAAATACACAGGGTGAAGAAAGGCTTCCAGAAGATACCGGCAATGGAAAGTATGCAAGAAAAATCTATAGAACTAGCCATGCATTTTCGGTAGAGAACATAAGAGTAGGAGGATAGTGTAGGAGGAGCCAAGAACACTTGAAGGTACTTCTAATATTGTCAGGAAAAACCTATAAGGAAAGAGAGTTTTAATTAAAAGTAGACTAAGTCAAGTATGCTTTGCTTTTTAAATTGATGAGGGGAAAAAGCAAGAATAGAAAAATGCGTGATTAGAAACTGGTGTGAAAACTGTCTTACATTGAGGAAAGAGTCAGTTGGAAAATTTGAATACACAAGTTAGAGCATTTAAGAAATTAGTTACTAAGCTTACTGAACTTTTGGCAATTATTTTAGAAAAGTCATTGCCTGTAGAGAAACATGCATTAAGAAACACAAGAAAGGTGTCTGTTTTTGAAGGAATTAAAATGTGTGTGGAAAAATGGCAAGAATATGACACTGTTAATTGGAGTATTATATGAATACTTAAAAGAAAGCATTGGTAGGGAAGAGACCACACTGCACAGACTTGATGTCTCAAAAAAAAATATCAACAAATCATTATATGAAAGAGATTCTGCAATTTTAGTGATTATGTGTGGGGGTACATTATAGTTGGAAATGTACTTCCCATTGGTTGGAGATAAGCATTCTTCAGTAGCTTGAAGACGAAATGTAAGACTGAAAACCAACACTAACAAGAAGTAACAGTGTAGTGAATTTAAAGGAACGAGTACTAAAAGTGCAAACTGCCTTTTGAAGAGAACTTTAAAATATACGTAAGTTCCTATCTTTGTACATAGGCTTCAGCACATTTTTATTTAACAGTAAAGTGCATTTGAAGGTAGTGGTAAAATTTCTGTAAAGGTATGCAAAATAAATGTTCTCCCCCAGCTTATGTTGTCATAGTGTATCTCAAGTCAATGAATTAAAATAATTTAAAATCTAACTACTAGAAATAGCTAACATTTCTAAATATCAAATTAAAAACAAAATTATATTTCTAAGACGTATTTATCAAGAAATATGACTTATTTATCTGTCCAGGCTTGATGTTGGGATAATTTGACCCTAATAGGTCAATTATTTAGATGAGTATTATTGGTATGAGAATCACAGAATGGTTTGGGTTGGAAAGGACCTTAAAGATCATCTTGTTTCAACCCCCTGACATGGGCAGGGACACCTCCCACTAGACCAGGTTACTCAAAGCCCAACCTGGTCTTGAACACTTCCAGGGATGGGGCATCCACAACTTCTCTGGGCAACTTGTGCCAGTGTCTCACCACACTCAAAGTAAAGAATTTCTTCCTAATATCAAATCTAAATCTCCCCTCTTTCAGTTTAAAACCGTTACCCCTCATGCTATTGCTACACTCCCTGATGAAGAGTCCTTCCCCCTCTTTCCTGTAGGCCCCCTTAAAGTACTGAAGTATTAGTTATGCTGTAAACACTAGCAGAGAAATGGCTTCCCGTATCTTGTGAATTCTCTGTCAGAGCGCAGCTTGACAAATTGTTCATCTTTAAAAGTGTGTTAAAAATTATAATTATGCTTTGACTTTCTGGTTTTTCGTCATTATCTTCCATCTGTTTTGGATTTGGGGTAACCTCAAAAATTGATTCTGTGGAATAAACTGCCTTAAAATACACTGGAAAAAAAGGCATGCATATTTAAATGAGTAGGATAAATTATTGACTTTCAGTTTCATACCAGATTGGTAAGTATTTCTGTACAGACATGTTTTTAACGTTCTTTCTTTCGCTACTCCAGTCTTCCAGTTTCTTTTACAGTGTTTTCTTTATAATTCCCTTGTAGGTAATTGGACTTCTAAGATTCAATTAACTATTAATTAAATATTTACCCCTTTTCTCAGAAGCTATTGGGTTTTCTCAGTAGCAATTTATGAACATTTCATGATCTTTATGATTAGTTCAGAGTTCATTATCTACTAAGTTAATGTTATTAAAATACCCAATAGGCAAATACAGTGTTCTAGAACTATTATTGTCCACTTCCGAGATTTTGTCATTGTAAACAGATAATTTTTCTGGTTTCTAAATGATTCCATGAAGACTAATGTGAAGAACCAAAACATATTTCTTTGCTTCCATACTTCCTTCC